AACAATCCAAATGGCCATGGGCACATTTATAAAGTTGTGGTGACAGTACATGGAGACACCGATCCTGTTACAGGAATCGTTATGAATTTGACCAACCTCAAAGAGTATATGGAGGCGGCAATTATGAAGGCCTTTGATCATAAGAATCTGGATCTGGATGGGCCATACTTTGCAGCTATTGTAAGCACAATAAAAATATGTAGCTGTATCTGGGAAAACCTCCAGAAATTTCTTCCTCCAGGCATTCTTTATAAAGTAAAAGCATATGAAACTGACAATAATATTGTCATCTATAAAGGAGAGTGGCTTTTAGGGGTTAATACTGTAGTAAGAGTTATTTCTTTCCATATTTGAAAAGGTCTTTTTTTTTTTAAAAATTTGTTTTAGAAAGAGAGAGTGTATGTGCACGAGCGGGGAGCCTCACATGGGGATTGATCTCAGGACCCTGAGATTATGACCTGAGCTGAAACCAAGAGTCAGACGCTTGACCAACTGAGCCACCCAGGTGCCCCTTGAAAAAGGTCTTTATCTCCTTGGACTATCAAGAAGTCATCATGTAACTTATACCTCCACATTGTATTTTGGAGTGCCTGATGGATTGAAATCATTGTATGTTAAGACCTGCTGTGAATTCAAATCTATTTTAAAACCAAACTCGTAAAACAACCTGAGTATCATTTAGAGTCTCTAATGTACAGATTAAAAATCACTTCATTTTCAGTAAAATGTTGTGGTATGGAATTTAAAGGCAAAATAAATCAATTTTTGTCTTTCCGTTCTCTCGTTTTTGGTATTCACATTTTTCTTGGTATAATATGAAAAGCAAAGATGTTTATAAGACTTACAGTACGTGAAACTTAAAAAAATATATATATATATGGGTGATCACACAGTCCGGAGACACAGACAACATACACTTCTTCCTTGATTACATGTCAAGTATTCTAAGGGCACAAGTTCATTCAGTGAAAAAGGAGACACACAAATCACCTTAGGCAATGCACTGTAGATGGAGGGGAACTGATGGAAATATCCCTTCAGTGCACATTGTTCAGTGAACTTTTGCACAAGCTTGTTGAACTATGAATTTCTAGCGAGGAACAGCACAATCACTGAACATTTGTCGGAGTATCAGTAAACTATTATATTTGTCTATGTTTCCAGACCTTATGACCACCTGTACAATTTTAATTCAGAAAACTGAATCATATGTATCAAATCCTATGACAATAATCAACATGAAAAGGATGTATTATACTGTAAAACATCTCATACAGGTTTTCCTAATCAATCCCATTTTGTTCTGATTATAAACTTACCTGCTTCAGTTAACTATAAAAAAAATAAAATAGAAACAGATTCCCTAAGTATTTCTTCTTTTTAGGATGTTCATGCTGAATAAGGACAGACACGCACACACGCCTAGCTTAAACACTGGCAGCTATCATAATGAAATCTTTAACAAATTATCACACTATCTCTCTGTGGAAAACAGACTACTAGTTTTTCATCTAAATCGGATTTGAGGAACAATCTTAGAATTTGTAAAGCCCAATATTAACCCAATTTGTCTTAGATAAAACTCTTTTTGTGTCACTTAACACTTTTTTGAAGTAAAACTATCAAACAGGACAACATAGAGAATGAGGAGCTCTACCTCAGAGGTAGAATTAAAAAACACTTAGACCTTTTAACGTCAGGAAAGCACAGGTGAATGAATTAGACGGTAAAAGGAAGAAAAAAGTGAAAAGAAGTGTGACGTCTAGCAAAGTGGGGAGTCCTCATCTAATAACATGCACCTACAAATCATGAACAAGAAACTCATCTATACAATCAGAAAAAGCAGCCAATAAAGGAGCGTGAACTAAATCCTCATTTAGCAGCACAAGGCAATGTCCAAAATGGACAAAAATACACCTGCATATTAGCTAGAAAAATGGAGGTAAACACCAGGGGCCAATAACAAACAATTTAGAATTGATTCCAGTGGGGAACAGGTCTGGGGAAGGAAAGGGTCTTACTCCTTTTCATTTACAAAGCCTTCTGTATTCCTTGGCTTTTTTTTTTTTTTTAAACTATGTGTAATTATTTTCATCAAAAATTTAAAGGTTTTTAAAACAGGGCTTCTTAAAACACAGTTCACAAGATTACCAAGCACAGGCTGTCGGCCATAGGCTGTGGTTCGGATGAGTACCACACAAGGGTTTCACGGGTTATCTCACAGAATCCTCATTAAGCCCACAGAGAAAGGGAGGCTACCCAAGGTCTGGACTCAGGTCTGCCTGGCTGGCACCAGATTTTGTACATTGCCCCAGGTAAGGAGCCTTTGGAAAAATCTCTGCGACTCCAAAATAAGATGCATATCCAGATCACATATTAAAACCAAGCCACAATTTTTCAAGCGAAGCAGAAAAAAACATCACACAGAATGCAGAACTGAATGCCACTGCAGTATAATTACCCCAAGAAGCAAAACGAAAGGTTACTACAATGGCCTAAATAATGTAATTCTAGATACACCATTAAAACATATTCAAATAATACATTCAAAGAAAAGAAACTGACTTACTCTAGAACAGTACTTTGGATTTTCATGTTAAAGAATTTGAGAAATCTCATCTGAAGCAGTTAACCAGCAACTATCTCAGATCCTCGGTTTTACTTTTCTTTTCAGTAAACTAGGACAGTCTGCAAATTGTGTCAGTGCATTAGGGTAACTAAAAATGAAACAGAGGCAAAATAGGTTTGATAATTTTGCAACTTGAAAGCAGCTGTAAGTATAAAATGACTTGGAAACACCACAGAATTAAAATGAGATAAAAATTCTCTGTGGATTTTGTTCAAATTATTCTCATCATGTACTCTCCATGCACATTTCTCAGTTGGTGATCATACATTTCTTTTTTTGTTCTGCTAATTGGATGCTTTTGTTTCTGACAATCCTAAATTCCACTAAATATATTGCTTGGGATGGGAAAAGCTACCTTCATCAAGATAAAAAAAACTTTTTTAAAAACCCAAGACCAACTTCTAGTAGGCCTAAGTGGTGGTTTAATTTTGCTATGTTTCTTGCCCTCATGTTCAGAAGTCCCTAAATAAAGGACTGTGGTGAAAATTCAAGGAGATAATGAAGGGAAAGTGCCGGCAGCTAACAGTGAGTCGAGTGAGTCGACAAAGATCACTTGAAATCAAGCCAACACAAAAGGAGAGGTTTATACACCCTGACCTCTTGAGCCGAAAGCTCAGAGCTAGAACTCTTCTAGTCCCGCTTCAAGGACAACAATGTTTTCATAAACTGACAAAGGGCAGGCGGTGGGTGAGTGAAGCAAGTCCCACAGGCTGGAGGGGTGTCTTCTGTACAAGGACCCTGGAGCACCAGTCTGGGGTGACTGTGGATTAGACCTATTTAGCTCTTCTCCACAACCACCACCAGTTACCAATGAGTTACTTCACCTAACCAGCAGGAAGCACTGTAAGTCGGCTCAGGGACGCCTGACTAAAACTACCCCACTGACCAAGGACTCCACTTCCTACTTGTGGGCTCCCTCCATCCTTTGTGTCTTAGAGCCCTAGACGGGGGTTGGAGAGTGGGGACCTCTGCTCAGTAAGCACCAACCACAGCAACACGTGAAAGCATTTAAACTGTTCTCTGGTGTTGGCAGGATGGCTGACTAGACCTTCTCACATTTAACTTTTAATATTTGTATTTCAAAAAGGAGACAATTGCAGGTATAATTACAGGCACAAGTCAAGGCAGTATTGTTGAATGCCTTGGTTCCTATTGGGATTTTCACTCTGTAATTACATTACTGAGCAAGTAGGCGGGAGGGTCATTTAAAAGAGCCCAAATAACTAAACCCTCTAAGTTTACTGTGCCTCAATAAAACCCGAAAAGATGGATTCTGAAGGCGTCCCTGAAAATAGTACACGTGACACAATCCAGTAGCTAGGGCTCCAGAAAGTCTTCCCCGCGGTGGCCATCCACCGCTGCCCGGAGTCCGAGCACTCTAGGCACCTTCCACCCGCCTCCCCTGACAGCGCACGGGAAACCAAACTTCCCGGCGTCCTCGCCCAAACGTGGTTTTGCGGTCAGAGAGCTGGTATTCTCGGTCTGATTTTCTAAAACGCGCGCAAAACGCCACCACACAAAAACCAGAACCAAGGCCCTAAACTTTACTGCCAGGTCTACGCTTTCCCCGAAGGAGGCTCGGTTCTGCGAACCATCGCGAGGGAAGCCCAAGCGCGGGTGCCGGACGTGCCTCCCACCGACCCCGCCTGCGGCCTCCGGGCCGCGGGCGCCGTACCGACGGTCCCGCTGGGCGGGCGGCACGGCGGCAGGCACAGCGCCCGGCCAGCGCGCGCCTGCGGTCGTGGGCCCGCCTCCGCCCGGGGTCTAAGGGCGCTTTTGCATTCCGAGGCCCGGGGCACCCATGGGCCGCTACCTGTCCGAGTGACCTTGGCCAAACACGCCTCCCCACGCGCTGAAGACTCGGGCTGCGGCAACGCTGATCCGCGAGGCCCCCAGACCCTAGGCAGGGATCCCAGGAGGGGGAAGCGGCCCAGGGCTGCACGCGGGTCATGACCTTCACCCGGACGCAGCCCGGCGGGCTTCTGAAAACGTCCGGCTGCCCTCTGGGTCGGCCCCACGTCTCGGGCGACCTCCTCCCCGCACCGGCCCGCAGACCCTCTCCGGGCCGGGGGTACTCAGCGTCCGCTCCGCCCTGCGGGGACCGTCCTGCCCCCATCTCGGCCCCCGCGCCCTGCCCGCCCCGCGGCGCCGACTCACCGCCCTGGTCAGTGCCAGGCGCCGGGCGCCCAACAGCCGAGACACCACCCGGACCCTCGACATGTCTGTCCTCCAAGGCGCTGTCCCACCAGCCCCCGCGCCGGACTGCGCCTGCGCATCTAGCGGCTCCCGGGCCGGGACGCGGGGACACCGCGCCTGCGCACCAAGCCACGACCCCGAGTGGGTGGTGGAGCATTGCGCCTGCGCCCAGAACCTGCGGACAGGGGCGCTGAGGGGATCCAGGGCCCGGCGCTCCCCGGCCGGGGGTAGGTCCGGGGCGGGGCCGAGTTCGGTCCCGGGCCAGGGCCTGGGCTGTGGCCAGGGTCTGTGCTGTGTTCCGGAGGGGCCGGGGGTAGGTCGGGGGCCTAGGGAGAAGTCGGGGGGAATGGGTGTAGGTTCGGGAGGGCCGCGGGTGGGTAGGGGGTCGGAATAGGTCAGAGCGCCGGGCCGTGTTCGGGGGTTCTGGGACTGGGTCGGAGTAGGTTAGGGCGCCGGGCCGGGTTAGGGGGCTCCGGGGGGCGGGTCTGGGATAGGTCAGGGCGCCGGCCCGGGTTCTGGGGTGGGGGCGGGCGCCCTGGTGACACTGGGAGCCCCAGCGGTGGATACGGGCAGATGACCCGGTGAGGGTCTGGTTCAGCTTCCCGGGCTATGTCTTCACTGACGCGCTTGATTTCGCCTCTGGTCCACGAAGTGTTTTTGTTCTTCGTGTGTTTTACGTAAGGTACCTGAAATCTTTTGTGGGATGAAGTGGCATGGGAAATAAACTGTGTTCACTTTCCTGTGTTTCGTATTGTATTGTTAGGATCTTTCTCATGCACAATTCTGTGCAATATAATTTTGAAATATTTTAGTGAGTTAGTTTACAATGATCCATCCACTCTTATTTTATTGACTTTTTTTTTTTAAGATTTTACTTATTTATTTGACAGAGAGAGAGAGAGAGCACAAGCAGGGGGAGCAGCAGAGGGAGAGGGAGAAGCCGGTCCCCACTGAGCAAAGAGCCCAGGACATCATGACCTGAGCCTAAGGCAGTCGCTTAAACCAACTGAGCCACCCAGGCGCCCATATTTTATTGACATTTAGGTTGTTTCCAAATCTTTGCTAGTGTTAAATGAGGCAAGAAAGATTATAATTGTGTATAACCCTTTGTCTTACTTAGGATCAGGTTGCTTTTCTTAGAATTGTATGTTTCCATAGGCCCTATGCCCCCTAAGTGGACTTTATTGGCTTGGAGGAAATGAAAACCATTCTTCACAGACCTACACTGAGAGTTTTGCAGTTTAGTACTTTCAGAACTAATTTTTTATTGTATAGTTACCACAGACTCCTTAACATAATATTTTTGGCATTTCTTTATTGCCAATTAGAATTTTATATTTTTAGATGTTAAGTGTTTATTGAAAACCCTATTAAAATTTTTCAAAATTGAATTGGATTCCTGTTTTGTTATGTAAGCCTTGATTATTTCTTTTTTTTTTTTTTAAGATTTTATTTATTTGACAGAGAGAGACACAGTGAGAGAGGGAATACAAGCAGGGGGAGCGGGAGAGGGAGAAGCAGGCCTCTCACTGAACAAGGAGCCCGATGTGGGGCTCGATCCCAGGACCCCGGGATCATGACCTGAGCCGAAGGCAGATGCTTAACGACTGAGCCACCCAGGCATCCCTGATTATTTCTTTTCTAATCAGTGTGTATTATTTGTGGCCATCACATAGAAATAAGCTGAAAGTCTCATTGCTCTGTTTTGTGAAAATGCCCAACCTAGTGCAGGTACTTAGTAAATCGGTAAATTCATGTTAACATTAGACCCTAGCCTAGTTACTGAGTTACAGCATGAGCTTTAAGCAGAAACATCTGTAATTATGGTGTTCATGCCACCAAAGTCAGGAAGCATGAGAACCTTCCTAGTACTGTCCCTATCTCCGCCACACACCGCTTGCCTTGGCCTGCATGTCATTTGCCATTTCCTGAGGGCCAGTGCTTTCATGCCTTGCTATTTACATATTTTTGTATACAACCATACTGTGAAGCTTGTTTATATTAGAGATCTTAACATCACTTTACTTGTATTTCACTTTGAGACCTGTTTCTCTCCCCGACTATATCATGAGTGGCTATTGTCTGAGGCCTTGTTTTTTTTATTTTAATCCTGTAAGGCTCAGTGCTATGTGGCTCATAGGTAGAACTGAGCCAAGTAGATGATACAATTGTGACAGATGTATTTTGTTCCTTTTATATGGTTAATGGTTTTATTATTTACTTCAAGGTACATCTCCATGAATAACTTAAATGACCCCCCAAATTGGAATATCCGGCCTAATTCCAGGGCTGACGGGGGTGATGGAAGCAGATGGAATTATGCCCTATTGGTTCCAATGCTGGGATTGGCTGCTTTTCGTAAGTCATAGTTTTCCTAACATTTGCATTCGGTGGGCTGAAAATGTGGATCCCAAAAACCTTGCGCTTTGGACCCTGACAGATGCAAGCAAGTGTACATCCTAGTGTTATCCCATACAGTGAGTCCTAGGCAAATTATTTAACCCCTTGAGCCTCAGTTTCCCTATCCACTGAAGCATTGTGAGGGCTAAATAAAACAAGATACTTTGTGTGGAGTGGTTTTTAGTAACTATTAGCTCCTTTCCAGACTTCACTTCTCTGAAGGGAACTCTCTTGGTTCAGTTGCCCTCATCAGGACTGACAGGGGAGAATAAAATAGGTGTAAAAGAAAACCAGTTTGGTCATCTGTTTAATGTTTAGGGAATCGGTCTGAAAACCTCTGCTCACCTGGCCAGCTTCTCTCTAGTTTGAATTGACTTTGGGGAAATTACCAGTTACTGGTCTGTTATAATTATTCCAGCCCTTAGCTTTTATTTTCTACTACATGATAATTTTCTGACGTTCAGGAATTAGTTTTATACTTTGTCATATCCCACAGTTTTGGATTGGCACTTAAGAATATGAGAAACTGAATAACTGAAGAAAATCACAAGCTCCCGTCTATTTGCAGTGATACTTTTTATGGAGTGTTTTTTCATGTGCTTAGATTTCTCAGGTCAATAGGCTTACCTCAGGAAGTGAAGGATGAAGAGAATAGCATTTATCAACTGTTCATTTATCTGCCTTTACTGTAGACTGTGCCAGGAGACTAGTTTACACCGATATTTGGCAATATAATTTCTATTTGTTTGTTTATTTATTTATGGGGGGGACGCATGTGGGGATGGGCAGAGGGAAAGAGAGAATCTCAAGCAGACTCCTCACTGAGTGTGGAGCCCGACGCAGGGCTCTGTCTCACAACCCCGAGATCATGACCCGAGCCAAAGCCAAGAGCCACCCAGGTGCCCCTTAGTAATATAATTTCTAAACTATGTAGTAAAAGATTTTTGGAGACTCTTTATAAGAACACAAAGATAAAAGTTTTCGGTGATCATGCTACCTAAGCAAGACAACCAAGAAGAAAATACAAAATATTCATTGACCCTTCTCAGGGACAGAAAGCGACATTTCAAAAGTCCAAGGAGGCAAGAACCTCAGAAGTAAAGGTTGTTACGAAAGGCTATAAAAGCTAGAGTTTGGAAAGCAAATGGAACGATGAGAGTTGCCCCGGGGCCTGTCCCAGCCTCAAAACTAATTAATCATTGTGAGTCAGTGTGATGTTAAGCCTTCCAATTCCCTCACCAAGTTCATCACCCTAGCCATGGGCCATAGGTAGTGGTTCCAAGGGTTAGGAGAGCTTTGCAAGATGGCAGGCTGGTGAGCTTCTAAGTGGCAACACCCTTAGGGCTGGGTTTGGATCTGCCCAGTCTCTGACCTGGAGGCAGGCACTGTGCAGATCGCTGAATCAAAAACACCACCTGATCTTGTCAGCCTCCGTGGGAGTCAGTGTTTAGTTTTTTTAAGAAAGTGCCAAAACGTTTTCCCGAGTGGTGGTATTATTTTGCATCCTCATCGGCAGTGTGTGAGTGATCCATTTTCTTGGTATCCTCACCAGCATTTGGTGAGGTCACTGTTGTTTTTATTTTACACCCACTGTGGTTTCAATTTGCATTTCCCTAATAGCTAATAATGTTGAACATGTTTTCACATTCTTATTTGCCATCAGTATAGCCTCTTCCACGACATGTCTGTTCCTGTCTTTCGGCCATTTTCTAATTATACTGTGTTTTCATGTTGAGTTTTCAGAATTTTTTACTACAGTCTAGATTCTAGTATTTTGTTGGATATCTAATTTGCCAGTATCTTTTTCCACTCTGTAACTTGTTTTTTTATTCTCTAAATGGAGGCTTTCGCAGAGCAAAGGTTTTAATTTTGATGAAGTTCAAGTTTTTTCTTTCATGGGTCATGCTTTTCTTCCTGCAGCTCTTTGCCTAGCCCTAGATCCTGAAGGTTCTGTCCCACATTGTTTCTTGAAAGTTTAGTTTTACATGTCCATGATCCATTTTGAGTTAATTTTTTTTTTTTTTTTTAGTATAATGTATGAGACTTAGGTTTTCTTTCTTCCTTACCAATCTGTTTGTCTTTTATTTCCTTTTCCTCTTCTTGCTTTTTTGCACTGGCTGACACCTCCAGGCCTCCATTGAGAAGTTCCCATCTTACAGGAAGAGCATTCCGTCTTCACCATTAAAGGCGACATTAGCAGTGGGTTTTCATAGCTGTTCTTTATCAAGGCAAGGAAGCTCCCCTCAGTTTTTCTTTTCTTTTTGAGTTTTTACCACCAGTGGGTGTTGAATTTTGCCAAATGTTTTTCTGTATCAGTTGATGGGATCATGTGATTTTTCTACTTTAGACTAGTCATATGTTGGGTTACATTGATTTTTGAATATTGAACCAGTCTTACATTTTTGGAATAATTTCCACTTTGGGGGGGTGCACCTGGGTGGTTCAGTCGATTAAGTGTCCGACTCTTGGTTTCAACTCAGGTCATGCATGATGTCATGGGTCATGGGATCCAGCCCCATGTCAGGCTATGGCTTTGTGCTCAGCAGGGAGTCTGCATGAAGATTCTCTCCCTCTGCCCCTCCCCCCACTCGCATGCACTTTCTCTCTCAAATAAATAAATCTTTGGGGCGCCTGCGTGGCTCAGTCGTTAAGCGTCTGCCTTTGGCTCAGGTCATGATCCCAGGGTCCTGGGATCAAGACCCACATCAGGCTCCCTGCTCAGTGGGAAGCCTGCTTCTCTCTCTCTCAAACTCCCTCTGTTTGTGTTCCCTCTCTTGCTGTTTCTCTGTCAAATAAATAAACAAAATCTTTAAAAAAAATAAATCTTAAAAAAAAATCTTTGAAAATAAATCTCCACTTGGTCATGCCATATAATCCTTTTTACATATTGTAGAATTACATTTGCCAGTATTTTGTTCAGGGTTTTATGTCTGTGTTCCTATGGGATTTATTATTTTAGCCCTTTGGCAGAGTTCTCTCTTCTCCACACTTACTTCAGCATCATGTTTTTTCTGTGTCAGTTATTGTATTGTTCAGTTCAAAACGTTCATATGCTTGTTTTTGTATGTCCTATTTCTGTGCTTAGACTTTGTATTGTCATGCTGCTTTAAACTCTTTGTCAGGTAACACTAACATCTCTGTCCCCTCAGTATTGGCATCTACTGATTATCTTTTTAAATTCAATTTGGGATCTTTCTGATTCTTGGTATGAAGAGTGATTTTCAACTGAAACCTGTGTATTTGGGGCATTATGTTATGAGGCTGACCTTTTATTTGGACATTCTATGGATTCTTCTTGGATAGGGCTCTAGCAGGGGAAAGGTGGCTCTGCTGCCTCACTCCTAGGTGGGGATGGAAGTCCAAGCTCCCCACTCAGCCTCCGGTCCCCTCATTACCACTGGGCAGGAGCCAGGGGTGCAGCTCCCCCAGGTTTCCACAGATGCTCCTCCCTGCCTGGGAGAGGTAGGAGATCTTGTTACTGCTCCCCATTTGGCCACCTCTGACACCACCCCCAAGGGAGCAGGAGGGCCTCCCATCAGCCTTTGCCCGATGGATGAGGATGGGACCACAGTGACTTTGTTGTGTGGCCAGAGTGGAGTAGTTATTGTTGAAGTTTCTGTCTTGCTAGGCCACCTTCCTAGCCCCTTGGCCAGAGAGAGCAGACTTGTGCTGGGGCTTTTTGAAAGCAAGTGTTCACATTGGCATTTCAGCTCCAAGTCCGGGAAGTGTGAGGCAAAATAAAACCCCAGGGGACTCACCACCGTAGCCTTCCTTGGGTCCTGAGGTCCCTTGCCAGTCTGCCTGCGGTTCTCCACCTTTAAGAACCCCCTTGGTTTGCCGTACTTACGACGCAGGGTTTCCGACTGTGCTGAGCAGGAAGAATAGGAAAGAGTACTTCTGTTCCATTCCCCCAAAAGCAGGAGCCCCCACTCTCTTCTCTGCCTTAGGAAACTGGGCCTGTGCACAGTTGTGTTTGCCCAGAGTCCTAAGGCAGGGTTCTCCAGGATCAGACCGAGACTTAAGGTTTTTCCATTCTGCTTCCACACTTTCCTCTGCACACGTCCTTGGTGATCTCCCCCACCTGTGTCACGTCTCTGTCCCACCTCTTCCTGGAGGCCTTCCTGATTCAGTGCCACCCACCCCAGACTTGCCCGTAGTCACAGCCTGTACCGTGTAGTCTGATGTGCAGCTCGGTGTGTTCTGTACCAGTCGCCACTTGTTCCGTGTGTCAGTTGTGGTACTTCCATTAGCTCATACCTGGGTTAAGGCAAGAGTGGCCTCCTCTGCCCCCTGCTGCACCCCCACCTCTGATCTTCCACTTCTTACCAGAGTCTCTGAGGACCTCTGTTGTTCAGGCCTCCTGACTTCCAGAATGTGCTCCAGCCCCTCAGTAGAAGCCCTGCAGCGACTCCTGGACACCGTCTGCTCAGGACATGTGATGCCCACTCCTGTCCGTGTTCATTCTGCCTAGAGGGGGCCTTTCCTACCAGCTGCTCCTCATCTTTCCAGACTGGTTCCCATTCGCCTTTTTCGTGAGCCCCTCCTGACTGCACCCTAAATGGAATTAGTCCTTCCTTCCTCCCCTTCTCACAGAGCTCTCAGTGCTTATCAGATGATAACTGTAACTGCTGCTCTAGCGGCCAGTCCCCCTACCTGTGAACTTCAGTGGAAGGAGGAGATGAAGATGATGTGTGCTTTCAAGTTTCCGTTACCAGTAGGACTAGACGCTGTTTGTAGGTGAGGAAAGAATGCGTTTGGTCTCATGCTTATAGAGTTGGGGTGGTAGCAGCACTTCAAGTGGAAATGACTTTCAGGCACACTCAAATACTGCCTCAGAGGATGGTTCTCAAGGGACGCGGGGGAAGAAGACCCGAATGGCAAGGACACCGCCTTGAGTGCTGGGGAGGGAAAAGGAGCCTCCCCGGCCCTGGATTTCTCCATGCAGCAGAGGACAGAGGCCCAGCTGCTCCTCACTCTGTCCCATGTTTGTGAGAGTCGAGTTTCCCTGGTTTGGGGAAAGGGAGCCAGGCTATGTCTTGAGGTTGAACATCTTCCTCCACCTTATTTTTATGTACCCTTGTCAGAATAGAAGCGAGATGACCAGGCAAGTCTGAATGCACTTTGAAATCACTCAGTTCTGTAATCACCTGCCAACATTACAGGAAGCATAGCAGTGTTGACTTTTAAACCTTGGCGGTAGGACGTGGAGGCCCTGTGGCCAGAGTAGGCATTGGTGGTGAGTTTGAGAGCAAAAGAAAGCAGTGGTGTATTTTTTCAGCCAGAGAAGATGAGGAGTCTGGAAGGGAACTGTCAGCAACCTTGTCACACTTGTCCTGGGGGACCCTTACCTGATTTTAAGATAAGAATTTTGATTATTATATGGTTTCATACAAAATGTTACCTGTACCTTTCAGGGCTTAAGATTTTATTGAAATGCTGTCCTTAACTGCTTTATGCTTTTTCAAAATAAAGATTATAAAACTTCAGCTCTGGCTTCTCATTAAGTGTGTTTTTCTCCCCCAATTTATTCGTGTCAGGTTGGATTTGGTCCAGGGAGTCCCAGAAAGAAATAGAAAAAGAGAGAGAAGCGTACCGTCAGAGAACAGCTGCTTTCCAGCGGGATCTCGAAGCCAAGTACCACGCCGTGATCTCAGAAAACCGGCGTGCGGTTGCTCACTTGTCTTTGGAACTTGAAAAGGAACAAAACAGAACGACTAGTTACCGAGAAGCCCTTATCTCTCAGGGGCGCAAGTTGGTAGAAGAAAAGAAGCTTCTGGAACAGGAGCGGGCTCAGGTCATGCAAGAAAAGAGACAGTTGCAGCCCCTGAGAAGTGCGTATCTGAGCTTCCTGGAAAAGGAAGATGACTGGCAGAGGAGGGCCAGGCTTGTGCTGAAAGAGTTTGAAGACGCCCTTACAGAAAGACAGAACATCTACTGCAGCCTGCTCCTCCCCCGCGGCAGGCGGCTGGAAATCGAGAAGAACTTACTGGTCCGAGCATCCACCGACCCAGTTGCCGCTGACCTGCAGATGGCGGCTGGCCTGACCGACATATTTCAGCACGACACATACTGTGGCGATGTCTGGAATACCAACAAACGCCAGAATGGGAGACTCATGTGGCTGTATCTCAAATACTGGGAACTGACTGTTGAGCTGAAGAAGTGTAAGAGAGTTGAGAAAGCCATCCTAGAGAAGTAGGGCAGGAGCAAAGTACATCTTCGGTGATGCTCTGGTGTCCCGGGGCATCACCGTGTTGTCGCTTCCTTCTGTAGCCACCTTCCAGCTGAGTGGTCTTCCCCTCCCACCACTGACTGAGTGGGACACAGGGTCTCTTCCTTGGCCCTCTTCAGCTGTAAGGATGCAGTTTCTCGGGAAAATTTTTTTTTTAAGCTGTAACATTTTGTTAGGCTGAATAGTATAACCTCGTATCTTTGCTGTAGGGTAAGATTGTTTTTAAGAAAGTCAAATACAGTATCAATCCTCACTGTAAGTAGTTTTCTGTTTGTTTTTATCACTCCCTAAATAAATTCTCTTTTCTCAAATTACTTTTCTCTCTCCTAGAATTATAAATAGAAGTTGTCAGATAATGGATAGAACTGCCTAATGAGGACAGAAAATAGTAACGTTAATCAAGGTTTCTTGCTGGTGTGAGCATCTCTCCCACCAAAGGGAGAGCAAGTGTTCCTTGTATCCAGTTGACACCCTGGTATATGTTTGGGATTTGGCTTGTGTCTATATTTAGTAAGCACCTATTATTTATTAGCAATGACGTATAATAAAAACTTGCCATTTAAAAGCAACAATGCCACCTATGTGTGTAATTCTTTACTCTTTATAAAATGTTTTTACATAGATTATCTCCATTTTACCACAAACTGATCAAAGGTAGGCACTTGCCCATTTTTCACAAAGCTAAGGTGAATCAGCCTCTCACATATCACCCCTGTAATTCCACCCCGTGTAATCCCAACATGGGAAGAATATGTAGCAAAATCAGCAGAGAATGGGATGCCTGGGTGGCTCTGACTTTGGTTCAGGTCATGATCTCAGGGTCCTGGGATCAAGCCCCATGTGGAGCTCTGCTCTCAGTGGAGAGTCTCCTTTCCTCTGCCTCTGCTCCTCCCCCTGCTCATGCTCACTTGCTCACTCTCTCTCTCAAATAAATAAGGAAAATCTTAAAAAAAAAAACAGAGGAAAAGGCATGTGGGGGCAAGTGAGGAGCCTGTACATCTTCCAGAGTCTTCTCCCCGGGGGAGTCATGGGAGTGCTCCCTCCCACCCACCCCCCCACCAGCAAGGAGCGTGAACTGTCACCAACCTGGGACCCCCAGAGACAGCCCAGCGCTGATGTTGATGGCTGGTCATGTGGGTATCCTCTGCTTGGCACACACCCAGACTGCAGAATCCCAGAAGAAAAGCCGGTATCCTCTCAAACTACAAAATTTAGACACAGCGGGCTGCCCTTACTGGTCAGCGGCAGGGAGATCCTCTCCAAATCCAGGTTCCCCATGCCATCCAGGGGCCAGCCTTGCAGCAGGCTTTCAGAAGGCCCACAGCCTCCTTGCTCAGGTGGGGCGGCTGGACCTGCTGCCAGGAGAAGCTGTCTGGGTAGTGCGGCCCCAGAGGTGCTGGAAACTTAGATGCAGTTCCTCAGTAGCAAGTGGCCCAGCCACGGCTGCGCTGAGGTCCGCCTGCTTTGGAGCCCCGTTTCCACCCGGCCTGCCTGCCTGTCTGTGGCAGGGAGACAAACTTAGGAATACTAAGCTGACAAAACTTCACGTCTAATTGTAGGGGAATGTCATTAGAGTTGGGTTTGGTCTGGGGACCAAAATGCTGAGGACTTATGGCCCAGTGGATCTGCATGGTTTATGCTCACATGTGGTTTTTAATCTTTGGAGCAATGTCAGAGACGAAGAAGCAGCTCAGAGCTACCGACCGTAAGGTCCCCCGTGGGGCTGGGGTCCTCGCCCCAGGCTCTGCTCTTCGCTGCTGTGCTAGGCACAAGAAGGTTTCATGCTTTTCTTCTCCAGTGGAGCTCCTCCCGTCACCTTTCTGCTCAACTGTCACCGCTTGACCCAAACAAAAATAACTTAGGTAAATATGAACCAAAAAGTTTCTCTGGTTATTTGTATCACCTAGAGTGGTGTCCATTCAGTTTCTGTTACTCCACTGGCTCTCCAGGTACCCTTGGATAAACCACCTAGTGCTTTCCCCTTGGTTTTGTCTTTAAAAGGAGGGAAATTCAGGGGGCACCTGGGTGGTGCAGTGGGTTAAGTGGTCGACTCCTGGTTTCGGCTCAGGTCAGGATCTCAGGATCTTGGGCTTGAGCCCCGTGTCAGGGATGCTCTCTCCCTCCCCCTCTGTCCCCCCCCCCCCGCCGTGTCTCTTGCTCTCTATAAAGTAAATAAGTAAATCTTTTTAAAAAATGAGGAAAATTCAGCCAGCCATTTAGTAGGTAAATTTCAAGGTGAATTGTTAATCCTCACCCTATTTTCTAATGTCCAGCATGCTGTGAGCCTAGTCTCCAATAGCTTGATAACTGTTCAGATAATTCAAATCAGTTTAGACACTGGTTTGATACTGCAAAATCAGAAACTTGCTACAGAAAATTATGTTGGGCCATGTCTGTATTTGCATAGCACAGCTGCCTCCTACTAGCAAATTTATTTGAGGGTTAATTGGATGCCATCCATCTTTTTAACATTGAATTTGTTAGGTTGGAAATCTGATGACTTCACAGATGTATCAAAGGAGGTCTGGACTAAGTGACGCTAGAGTGGAACATTATTGAACTAAAAGCGTTTAAAATTGAGAAAGAGAATAGGAGCCAGGAGCTGTTTGATATGTGTGCAGGATTTGTGGGGACTTGGGAATCAGACATCATTCGTCTAGGCTGCTTTCCAGAAGATCTCAGTAACTGAAACCTTGAGCCAGCAAGGCAAGGAGGATGCTCCTGGATAAAAGGACCAGGGCTGAGGCAGGACCTGTGTCTGGAGGGAGCCTGTCTGTGCTGTAGTCAAGAGGAGGGGGTGGTGGTTGTGGTGGGGGGCTTTGAGGGGGGTTTCAACCTCTGCTTTCTAATTGTGCTTACTGTGAAATTACCTATTTCAGCGTGTTTTACTTTGGAATATTGTTGGAAGGCACAATGATTGACCAGGATGTTCCAAAAATAAAACAAGAAGCAGGCAGTGATTCTGTAAATTAATCCCACTCAATTTATTTGTTAAATAAACATACCTGGGGGGGCAGCATGGGATTACCTGGATGGGGACTTACCTGGGGAGGGGGGAGCATGTAAGGTGTAACATACCTGGGGGGGAGCATGGGATTACCTGGATGGGGATTTAGCTGGGGGAAAGAGGGGCCCCAGAACTGGACAGAGGGTAGAGACTGCTCACACAGTGATTCAAACCCCCAACCAGAACTTGGGGGTTCTAGTGTGAGAAGATTGGGCCCATCAAGCACTAGCCTCTGTCTTGAGAAAATGTTTCATTCTCATACTCTTAGATATTTTAAAAAATTCTGAATTGCATTGAAATTAAAGCCACGTCTGAGGAAGGTACACTACTGTTTTATTAGTGTTTATTACTAATCATCGTAACACTTGGCCCTTTGCAGGAATCAGATCTTGGTAGAAACCAAGTCCAAGCACTTGTGGGTGAGGTGAATGGAGCCAGATTTGAGACCAGAGGCTGAACTTGGGATCTGACAAGATGGCCGGCCTGCCCCGCAGGATTATCAAGGTAACCCAGCATTTGCTGGCAGAACCAGTTCCTGGCATTAAAGCAGAACCAGATGAGAGCAATGCCCGTTATTTTCATGTGGTCATTGCTGGCCCCTAGGATTCCCCCTTTGAGGGAGGGACTTTTTTTTTTTTTTTTAAAGATTTTATTTATTCATTTGAGAGAGAGAGAATGAGAGACAGAGAGCACGAGAGGGAAGAGGGTCAGAGGGAGAAGCAGACTCCCTGCTGAGCAGGGAGCCCGACGCGGGACTCGATCCCGGGACTCCAGGATCATGACCTGAGCCGAAGGCAGTCGCTTAACCAACTGAGCCACCCAGGCGCCCGAGGGAGGGACTTTTAAGCTTGAACTATTCCTACCAGAAGAATACCCAATGGCAGCCCCTAAAGTACATTTCATGACCAAAATTTATCATTCAAATGTAGACAAGTTGGGAAGAATGTGTTTATAAATTTTTGTAAAAATATTTTATTTATTTATTTGACAGAGAGAGAGAGACAGAGAGGGAACACAAGTAGGGGGAGTGGGAGAGGGAGAAGCAGGCTTCCCGCTGAGCAGGGAGCCCGATGCGGCTCCATCCCAGGACCCTGGGACCACGACCTGAGCCGAAGGCAGACACGCTTAACGACTGAGGCACCCAGGTGCCCGGGAAGAATATGTTTAGATATTTTGAAAGGTAAGTGGTCCCCAGCACTGCAGATCCACACAGTCCTGCTATTGATCCAGGCTTTGTTAAGTGCTTCCAGTCCAGATGATCCATTAGCAAATGATGTAGCGGAGCAGTGGAAGACCAATAAAGCCCAAGCCATAGAAACAGCTAAAGCATGGACGAGGCTATCTGCCCTTAAAATCGATCTGATCATCAAGTGTGCATCACTTCTCCTGTTCTGCCAAGACTTCTTTTTTGTTTGCATTTAATGGACACGGTCTTAGAAACATTACAGAATAAAAGCCCAGACATCTTCAGTCCTTTGGTGATTAAATGCACATTAGCAAATCTATGTCTTGTCCTGATTCACTGTTGTAAAGCATGAGCAGAGGCTAGAAGTACCATCCGGATTGTTGTGAAATGTTTGAAAGCAGTGGCCCTTCTCTGCTTTTATTTATTTCCCCGTCATGGCTTGAGTATAAAGCACTGTGCACGAAGGTAGTTGTCAGGGTTAGCTGCAGGGGTGTGGGTGTTTTTTTTTATTACTTTTTTTGAGGGGGAGAGGTGGTTTTATTTTAATTTTATGTGTTCCTTTCCCCCTTTTTTATGGTGATCTAATTGCATTGGTTAAAAGCAGCTAACCAGTTCTTTAGAATATGCTCTCTAGCCAAGTCTAACTTTATTTAGACGCTGTAGATGGACAAGCTTGATTGAACCAAAATGGGAACATTAAACAAACATCACAGCCCTCACTAATAACACTGTGACTTTGCTGTCAAGTGTAGAATCCTTACTTCAAGAAAAAACTTGTGACCATTTTGCATGGCTTGTCTGGAAATTTCTGTAAATCTTATGTTTTAGTAAAATATTTTTTGCTATTCCACTTTGCCTTTGTACAGTTTATTTTACTGTGTTTATGTCATTTTCCCAATGTGACATTCATATTTAAAAATTAAAACTGATGGAACATTCTCTTTTAGTCTTTACCACTT